TGTTTCATACATCAGAGCACTGCACAACAGCGCCGGTTAGCATGGCCATCATCTGTTTACTTGTTCCCCTTCTCAGAGAGAGAGAAAGAGAGAGATTCAGGAAGGAAGAGAGAGAGAGAGAGAGAGAGAGAGAGAGAGGCAGGTAGTGAACTGGGACCTGCTGTTGAACATTAATAAAATAAATAATACATTTAATCCACTAGTATTTCTGCCATTAACTCGGAAGGGCAGCAATATTTAAATGTCTACTCAACTATTTATTGTTTTTTAACATTGACATTCAAAGTAAAAAAATCTTATATCAATTAACCAGAAGCTGGCCATTTTTGCTTTGAAGAGTAGGTAATGATAAAAGATAGATAAAAGATGGGCGTAGCTGCTGTGACATCACCTGTTGTCCTGATCTAAAGCCTTGAGCGTTTCTGCTGTCGCCTTCTTGGTTGCAAAGACTAAGATGGCTCGAGAAGGGGCGGGTCTGACTGTGAGACCACATGCTCAATGACTTGTGATTGACAGCTGCGAGTGTGTGAGTGTGTGGTTTCATACTTCCAGTTTGAACCATCGTATGATCAAGCTCTACAAATTTTGTGAATTTGATTATTCAGTATATCCGACAGTGAATGACTTGAGTGCATAAAAAGGGCAGGAAAGTGTCTACAGAGGTCAAGTAAGAAATCCTCTTTCACGTAGATTTCTATGGGATTGAAGGCCATTAATTAAAAGTAAAGTGAGTAAAGTAATTAATCTTTACAGATCATTGAGTTTCAGTTGTGCCTACTATAGATATACCTATGCCAGAAATGTAGAAGTCAGTAGCAATACCAGTAGAATTACATGATTCCCGATACCCAACTCCTTTATTAAAAAAAACACTTGAACATTACAAAATTACATTATCTGTAAATAAAAGCAGTACAGAACAAGAAATGTTAAGATTTTACTTTGATGACAGGAAATGGACTGAAATGTGAGTAGCTTAACTTTAAACGGTAAAACTAGTTAAATCATTAGCCATTATAGTTAACTTCACAACAGCAGTTCTTGCTTTAAAAAACAAAATGGTAATATGTATTTCAGGAGAACATGATACTTTGCATATTTAAATGCTGAACTGAAACTCGGTCGCCTTTCATTCTGTGAACTGGTCTAGATGTCGGGCGTTTAGGTTCTTCTCTTAACTATTTTCTTGCTTGTTCTAAAAATCACAGTAGCATCATTGAACATTGGCTTTTGTGAATCAATAATCACTCCCTGATCATCCTCCTTGCAAATGCAAAGTATTTCCATATCTGACTCTTGCTACCTTTCTTATCATCGGGTTGGGGTGCAGCTATTGCAGCAGCTGCACGAGTCACCATCTTCCACATGTAGTGTTTGCTATGCTTGTGGGCGTCCTCCTTCTTCTTCAGCATGTAAGAATAGAACATTTTGTAAGTTTAAACCGCCCCACACTTTCAGAATTTTCGTAATGAAAGATGTGATAATTATCAGTTCTGAGGATATCTCTGGTCCACTAGGACTTGATGTGGCAAGCTCGACTTTGCTTTTAATTTGTTGTGAAATATCCCTTGTGTAACACTGTATTTCCTGTAATCCGCTAACAACTGACACAAGATTAATCATACTGTCAGGAATGACTGATGGGCAGAAAGGTTTTTCTTAAATTTATTGTACTGTCCATCTGGATAAGGTAAAGATGGGGAAAAAATATGATAGAAAATATCCTGAATATAGACTCATTATATACTCACTATATTTGCAGCAAAGATAACGTGTAATATTTTCATTTGTGTTTGCAGTTGGTGGACAGGATTACTGGACACAAAACGGTAGATGCGAGGTGAGGCTTAGCGAGTCACTGTGGCTTTGAACACTAGCATAAGGACAGTCACATGCCATCTCCAGTCAGGGGTATGTTGGCACAGGTTTGTGGATGTGAATATTTGGATGACTTCAGCACATGCACACACACACTTGCACTGTGTGCACATATGCATGCACACAGTCATGGGGTATACACACAGCAATGATTTTTCACATCTCTCACTAGTTTGCAAATACAGAAATGCGCAGACGTCAGCTGTTGTGGACACTTCTTTATTGCAAAAGGAAAAATTGGTATTTGAGGCTTTTTTAGGTGTTTTTAAAGATTAGACGGGAGACTTCCAGTCCACAGCAGCAACCGGGCACACAATCAGTGCGCAAACATGCAACGCTGTGGATATTTTCATGCGAGTACACACGCACATCGCAGAACGCAGGCTCTCAGCATCAGTGCCCTGACCATAGGGAGTTTGTGCTGAGCTGGTTGGGACGTCAGGATGAATCAGTGTGCGGACAGCTGACTGGACGTGCCTATTCATCAGCCAGAGAAAAGAGAGTGAAAAATGGAGCGAGGGATTCTAAAAGAAACGAGTTAAGCCCCAGAGCAACATGTTTGGCTATCTGCATTACTTTACAGATCCTCCAATGGGCTTTGACTGTTGTATGGGATAAAGGCTGAAGAGGTGGAAAAGATAGCCGAGTACGGGAAGGAGAGGAGGGGGGTAAGACAAGGGGAGTTTTCACACGATTATTTTTGTTGTGTACACATGCAGTAGTAGGACACTGCAGATGCAAATATTAACACTCACTAAGCAGATAGGCTGCTTTGACAAAGGCATAAGCTCATACTGTAGAGGCGGCTACCTCCATTCTGATGGCCCGTTTATTCCCATCTGTTGCCCTCAGCTCTCTGACTTTATCCCCATTGTGTTAACTCATTACATTCGCCTTAACCATAACCCCTTAATTGCCACCTTCCAGTTTCTCTCCCATATCCTCCCCCCTCTTGGAGACAGTGTGCCACATTGCCCGTGCATTAATCTGATAGCGTCTGCCTACCAAACACCTGCCATGTCCAGAAAAAACCCTCCTAAACTCCTCCAGATTCTGGGTTCAGCACCCATTGTAGCGTGAGCGGATCAGCACACATGATAGCAAGCAGGCAGGCACGCATTTAGACAGATGCAGATGCACATACAGCAGATAATTAGACGAACAACCTCACCGCTTGAAAATCATGCTGGAGTCAGTGTTTTTGCTTTAGCCTTTATGAGTATGTGTACCTATTTTTTCCCCCTTGCATTCAAAGAAAGACGAGACAAACAAAAGTTGTCTTTTGTCTCGCCTCTTCGCCCATTTGAAGACAGTGATGGGTAGGCCCAGGCCTCTTGGGTTTAACAATAACTCTCTCGACCCCCTAATGAGGGGTGGAGGGCCAGACATGAGGCGATGTGACAGTTCTGGTGCGGCTGACACAATAGCAGGTTTTTCTTTTGACTGCCTGGCTGAGCTAGAGTACCTTCTTTCACTAAAACAGCCAAACAAATGGTCGTCCTTGCCTGAGGAACATGTTTAGCTACATCAGGCTGCCTCTGCCATGCACTGTTCGTTATGTAGAGCACCACAGCTGCTTTTATGTTTGCCATTTTTTGAGGTCTTGATAAGAAGTCTCTAAAGGAGCTTCTCACATCAAACTCATTTTCCTGGCAGACAAGATCATTTATCTCTAAAATGATGAAGGATTTATCGCGAGATTCCAATTTTCTTTAACCGATTCTGATTTTTCCCTAAGCTTGACCTGCTGATAGAGACTTTTGTCAATTTGGTGTTTCTTTCTAAGTACTGTAAGCATATACAAGCAAAAATCAGGTTTTCGTCAATGCAGAATATCATTTTTGTAGTAAAATAAGACTGAATAAGGCTGAGATAGAGCTAGCAGAGTTAAAGATGCACAAATTGCTTTTATAGGCAAAGTTAGAGAGGAAAGGTTGAGATGGTTTGAACTTGAACCTCAAGAAAAAAAAAGTTCCCTATATGAGTTGAAAAAGAAACATGTTGCGAATATGAGCAGCTGACCTGTTCAAGATGAGTCTCAAAGCATATATTGGACAGGCATCCATAAGAGGGACAGGATTTTATGCAAACATAAAAGGTTCAATTTTATGGTTATTTTATGTATTATATGATAATATTTAGCTAATGTGTTAAATTAACTCTTTTAAATACCATTTCCTATAACTTCACGGTCACCAACATTTTTATCTGCTACTGAATCTTGTTTGATTCACAACTAAATATGTGATTATGAATCAGCGTCGCAGGCCATGCAAAAATGACCCAGTATGTGCTGATTAGCCTTGTGTTCATTTTGCCAAAGCTTTTTAGCTATGTGGAGTTTTGATAAAACATTACTGTCCGAGGCAAGCTATTTTGAAATTTAAAAAAAACAACATCATCCTTGAAAAAAAAAAAAAAGCCAAAAATGTAGGTATAAACCAGGTCAGGGATCTGGACAAATGCTACATCACTATACCTGCAGTCTCAACAATGATTTGTGTGTAAAACCTTAAAGATTTAGATTATTTTGATACTAAAAGTTACAAATATACCTTCTTACCTTTTTACTTACAATCTTGCATCAGCACTCAGCCCAGAATCTGTGCTCTATATGTGCTAGTAAGTGAGTTTCTAAAATGAAGTTTGTTGATAATGGATTATTGATCGTGAATTAGAGTGGATGGCCCCTGGGGGCTCATCCTGGCTGGCCAGGAATGAATACATCTCTTCATGCTTCACCTCACACACTCAATTTCGGCATAAGCAACCAAAGGTCTGACAGACACACGCATGTTGAGACACTGACCCGTGGTCTAATAGGTACAGACAGCCGTCGTTCATCCAGTAAAGGACAAAGGTTATTCCAAAATCTCCGTGATGCAAATTGCCTCAGTGAGGTCTCACCCTCTCTTAGCACAGAGTAAAACAACCTTAATGTGAATCAACAACTGCTTGATCTTAAACAGTTTTTGAACCAAAATATTATTCAATTATTCAGTCATCAGTTTATTCTATTTAAAGAGATGAAATTAAACCATGGGTGTCTACTCTCACTGCAGTGCTTTTTTATATATTGCAAATCTCTTGTTGGTATAGATTGTTATACAATCTGGTTTACAAGATAGTGAGTCACAAATGCTGTGGCCACTTTCACATTCACTTTTAAGCTTTAATATTTTTTCTGTGTAGTTTCTCAGTTCTGAAGAATTAAAGTTTTCCTTTTTTCTTTTTGGACATCAGCTGCTTTTTCACTCATTTTCAGTCCTTGTACCTGACCATGTTCACTGGAATGTTGTTCATCTGTTAGGCCACTTAACACTGAGCTCACATAAAAACCAATGTTGTGTGAACTTGGACAAAAAACAACTATTGCATTAAATTGTATCTTTAGACACTTTGTTACCAGCAGCCTGTCATGAAAACATATGACGTGTTCCTACTTCTTTAGTTGAATTTATGAAAAAAATACATAAAACGCTATTTTTGCACCATTTTGGTGATTTTGGGACGGCTATTACCCGAAAACCTGGCAAGACCTCGAAAACTATCTACAGCAGAAGAATACTAAAGAATTAAGGTGGTCATACCAAGGATTGACTTTCAAGCTTGTTGTCTTTGTGCAATCTCTGTTTTTTCCTTAAATACTGTATTTTCATTTATGTTTTCATATTATTTTAAAGCCATTTGGACAGACTTTTTTTAACTGGCTTTTTTCTGAATTTTGGTAGTTAATTTAATTATCATGGGACTCATTTCAGTTTCTTTTTTTCCAGGTATCATACAAACAGCATGCCACTTGATGAAGGAACTTCTCTTCAGAGATCGGGATTGGATACTAAAGCTGTGATGTTTGGCAAGTTTTTGTTACCTGTGCTGAGAACTCAATAAGTTTTGGAAGAATAACTTTTCTAGAGTTTCACAGAGGATTTATTAAACAGCTGTGGTAATTCTTGATGACCGGTGGTCTTGGAAAAGTGATGGAGACAGAAGAAAGGGAGGATGTTTCACAAAAACACACAGCTAAGGTGGAGGCAGAGGATGAGGTAACCCCATGCCACACCTGCGGGGTGTGTGGCCGCAGTTTTCCACTTCTAAGCTCTCTATCTCAGCACATGAGAAGACATACTCGGGAGAAGCCTTACAAGTGTCCCTACTGTGAGCACAGGACAGCTCAGAAGGGCAGTCTAAAGGCCCATATTAGAAGCCATAAATTGGGCCTTTTGAGCCAAAACCTCAGTGACAGGGAGGGGGATGGAGATGAAGGGCAGAAAGAGGATGCTGATATAACTGACCCTCCTGAGCTCAGTAGCCCACCTGATAAAGCTCATAACATTAATGGAAAGGTCAAGAAGAAAACAACCAAGAAAAAGGTTAAGGGTAAAGATGGTGTTGAGGTTAGCGATGGAGGTGATGACGGACCTTTTTGCTGCACCATTTGTGGCCAGGTTTTCCCTCAGGTATTACTCCTCAAGTCCCACATGAAAAGGCACCGTGGCTCTCAGGATCACGGTTGCCGGATATGTGGACGACGCTTTCGCCAAGCGTGGTTCCTCCAAAGTCACATGCGCATTCATCGAGTGAAAGCCCAGCTAAGGGGCAGCAAAAGCAACGAACCGCCTGCCACTATCAATGGGGTTCCTCAGGACCCAGCATTACTGATGAATGAAGAGTGCCTCTATGAGCTCTGTGCAGGCTGCGGTAACTTCTTCAATGACCGCAGGACACTGCAGATACATGAAAAGTTGCATAAACTGAATCACACTCGCACTCAGATGCAAAACCCAACACAAGGAAATGTGGAGTCCCCCGAGGTGCAAGATGCTAAGAGGCAGTTTTTGGAAAGCCTGAACCTCATTTCTGCTGGACCCAGGGAAAGCCCTGCGGAAGTGAAGCCGGGCAGTCGAATTCCTGAGCTGGATCCAATTTGTAGTTACCAGTCATGGCAGTTAGCTACAAGAGGACGGCTAGTGGAGGCTACAGAAAAATGTCTGGGATGGGAGGAGAGATTAGCTGATGCGGAAGTGGCATATGACATAGAAAAAGGCGAGTACGTCCCCTTGAAGCAAGAGAAAAAGAGAAAGCCAAATGACACAGCCGGCTCCAATCTTAAGAAGAGGAAGGGTGACGCAGGCCTTGATCACAAAGGTGGTGACAAAAAGATTAGCCAGAAGGACTCTATTCTGCTGAATGGACTTGGTCAAGCATTTTATGAGGCACTACAGACTAAAAACGTTAAAGATGTTCACTCCTCATCTAAACAGACGAAGAACATCAAGAGCCTGGACCAGGAAGGTGAGCCGAATACACCACAACACACCATAATACATTATCCACGACAGAGCTTAGACAAGAGTTTATATTCGTTGATCAGACTTAGAACAGTTTTGTACTTTTACCATTTATAAGCATCAAAGCATCAATTAAGGGCTGTATTTTATACAAATTGATTTCTGGAAGGTAAATGAAACTACAACTCTAGTACAAAAATGAGTTAAATTGGCAATATATTGTGTAAAGGAGAGATCACTAGCGAATTTCTAAATGAATTACAGCAGCAGTAATTGCCCTTTTTTAGACAAGAATGTCTGTAAAAATACAAACGCAGTAAGGTTACCTTACCTAATATTTTTAAGGGACTCCTAATATATAAATCTCAGCATTAATAATTGTTTTATTGGCTTAACAAATCTTTAAAAAACTGTTTTGGTTGGATTTGTAGATTCAGATTTAGATTTATTAATTGTGTGTCAGGGGTGGGACAAAATATCAATATGGAAAATTTTATGTAACAGCTTCTATTTGTGTACAATATCTTTAGACTAATGGCAAATGTCTTTATTACTATTAAAACATGCTGATGCTATGGTCTACCAGTCTGACTTACCACAATGACTGTCAATACTTATCATGGCAGCACCAATAATCATAAAATAAAGCTAATAGGGCCAATATTAGCTGTTTGCTAATATTTTGGCATCTGCATTTATAATGGCCAATAAATAAACACAATTTACATTTAATAATAGCACAATACATAATTCTTGCTTTTTGTCTAATTAGGGGTGTTTTTTTCCTTCCTTAGCTAGATGTGTGATCCTTCTATCTTTATTATACAGTCTTTTTGTATATGTAAAAAAACCTGACCTCATCTGTTATGAATGTCCCCTTCTGTTTTTACCTGCAGATAAAAAAAAATATTTCTGCGAGCACTGTGATTTCCACACTGTTGACACCGCGCTACTCAGGTCTCACCTGCACACGCAGCACCAGGACTTCCTGAGTTCCTACAGCAAACAGAGCACCAATTTGGACATAAGCAGAAGTGGTTCCAAAGCCTCAAGATACATGGACTACCTCAGAAGCAGGAGCATCCTGCTCAGTCAGCCATATTGGAATCCATATTCATGTTCTCCAAGCCAGGAGTTAGTAGAGTCAAACATTAAAATGGAAAAGACAAATGGCTCAGAGGTGAAAGAGCAGGGACATGCTACTGGCGATGCTAGCAGCCTCCTCAATCTTTCTTCTTTACCCATAACTGATGTTAGTTTTCCAGTAAAAACACAGGGCCTGGTGAGACATCAGTGCCCATACTGCTCCCACACCACCAACTACCCAGAAGTACTGTGGATCCATCAGCGTGTTGCCCACAGGGTGGATGGCAGCAGCACCATGGCACCCAAGTGGGCACCTAGCATTAATAGTCTCAAGAGTTTAAAGGCAGGTGCTTCTCAGTGGAGACGCACAGGGCCGCCACCCTTCCTCGAAGGCAAGGACTGTCCAGCTTTGCCTACTCCAAGAACGCAGCGCACACAGCCTCCCGGTGTCACAAACCATGGCAGCAGCAGCAGCAATAAGCAGTCGTCCCACAAGAATCAATCAAGCACCTTGAAGTCCAAGCATCAGTCAAAGGACTCACGACCTTCAGATGCGACACAGTCTAGTGGCAAGGTTGGACTCCAAAATCAAAAGAAGGAGCATAACCGAACAGTGGAGGGTGGATCTAAAGGCTCCAGCACCCAAGCTACTTCGTCAAACAGCATTGTGAACAGCAAGAGTCTCCAGAGCTTGCAGCCTACAAGCAGCCCAAAACAAAGAGGCAACAGAGTCACTGTGGAGGGGAACTTCCCACAGGAGGGTTTGGGTTTTATGCTGGCAAGAAATCGCAGTGGGAATTCTTCTTCTTCTTCTAACACAGATAAGCTCCACTCTCGCAGGCATTCAAGTGACTTTTCTTCAGGTCCCAAAGGTTCTGATCTCTGGGCTGCCATGAATATGTGGGGGCTACACGGAAGCAAAGCATATTTAGATACACTCCGAATATCTCAGGGAAAGAGTGAATCAACAGGAGAAACGCCAACGGACATCGATATTTTAAGTCTCCTGAAAAACTACAGTCCACATGATCTGGCATCTCTCTATCAGCACTGGGGCTTTGTTGATCCCAGGCTTGTTTCACAGGGTAAGGAGGAAGCTTTGCTTTCTGCTTTATTTGCTGTAAATGATCAAAGAACTGAGTACTGTTTAGATCAGGGGTGGGGAGCTCCAGGCCTCAAGGGCCGGTGTCCTGCAGGTTTTAGATGTGTCCTTGATCCAACAGAGCTAATTTAAATGGTTAAATTACCTCCTCAGTATGTCTTCATGTTCTCCAGAGGCCTGGTAATGAACTAATGATTTGATTCAGGTGATATCTAAAACCTGCAGGACACTGGCCCTTGAGGCCTGGAGTTCCCCCACCCCTGGTTTAGATGGAGGCCTAACGTTTTTCAATGGTTGATGTATAGTTGCCAACTATTATAAAAATCTACTGCTTTCAGAATGAGAAACAGATGTTTCAATGCTCTTTCACTACTTTCTACTTTCACAGCAACGATGCAGTTAAATGGAAACTTTGGAAATGAAGTCCATTCCTCGTCTGAAGCTTCCAAACAGGTATGTTTTTGATTTTACTGATAATTTCTAGATTTGTATTTCAGGCAAAAAGAATTGTGAATTAAAATAATCTTTGCATCCTTCATTTTAAAATCTTTAAGACTTTTCGAATCATTGATGATCATAATTGGTTATTCGACTAGGTTGGTGTATATATACACTTATAAATTATATAAATATGGTTTAAAAATGGAAAAAATAGCATTTTGTGCTCCAAACCAATTATATCTGAAAACATAAGCCCACCTTTACATCATTATTGATTAACTTTACATAGAACATGTTTTTAAAATCCTGTTAGTTATCTGGTGCAGGGCAGTGTTTCTCTTTATATTTGTATCACAGTTCAAACCTTAACTACAGTTTCATCTAAAAGGTAACTCAAGCCAGTTAACCGTAGATCAGTTATTTCACTTTCCAGAGCGAAGTACAGCATAAAGTCCCTGCTCACCTCGTGTACAGTATGTCTTTACCAACTGCGTGTTCCTGCTCTGTGTCTGTACCTCGTCTGTGTCTGAGCACAGTCTGTCATTTCTGCGCACACGTGTGTCTGCGTATTGTCTTGTATCTACGTGCGTGGCTGTCAGCTCCCACAACCTGGCTGTCTCTTCCCTCTCATTTCCGTAACAGAAGCTGACAGGGATGAGGCAAACAAATAATAAAAAAACATTGTTGTCCCCCTCAGGGTAAAATTCGCACAGCATCTCCATATGGTGTGTCATCAGCCTGTCAGTCAGGCCTACCCTGATGCTACCTACAACTGTTCTTGCTTTCTCCTATTCCCCCTAGAGTAATGTGTGGGCAACTTTTTGAACACGAGTGATGGGCACTGTCTGTCTTCAGGGTTGAGGATTTCTAAGCCAGACAACAGTTGTATGTGAGGTGTAAAACAATACTGGAGAAACATGACTTTGTGAAAGATTTTTAAAAATTTCTATTTCTCCATATCTTATACAGCATTTGTGCATCGCTCATTTCCATCTTTGTGAGGACACTTATAGACCTTTGTCTTAACTAAAGGGCTAAAGCCGACCCACCGGTTCTCAAACTGTGGGTAAAGCTACTGCAGGGGTGAGGGGTGTGGGCAGAATTTAATGAAAATGAAGTTGAGATAATGAATGATTTATTGCAGGGACTATGGACTGGTTCCTTTATAAAACTTTTCTACTCTACCTGAGCATTTAAAGTGCTTTATACAACTTGCTTCATTCGTTCAGGCACTTTTTTCTATGCTTAAGTGCTTTTTTGCTAACATTCACACACATTCATACTCCATTGGAGGCATCAGAGTAACTTGGTCAGTCGCACCACCAACCTTCTGATCAGTAGTTGACCTGCTCTACCTCCTGAGCTACAGCCACCCTCAAAAACGAACCAGTTGAAAACCTGTGCTAGTGCTAACTATTGTTACTCACACTTGTCTTCTGCAGATGAACAGCCACTCCACTTCATCCTCAGGGTCTCTGCATAAAGGAACGTAACGAAACATTGTGCTTCTCTTGGTTGCAAAGTTCTAACTGCTGAAAAAAGAGAGGCCTGCTGTTCTTCAAAGGAACTAGCCATAACTCCTGGAGAGCACAGAGGCTCTGGAATATGCACAATATATGCAAAGCAATGCGGTGGACTTGTTTGATTTTGTATTATGACTGTTTGATTTGAAGTGTTAAGCATGTTACGAGTGTAGATATGATAGTTAAATAAACACACATGATGTGTTTTTGATTATTTTATTTGGTGAAAATGAGGCAAATGTTCAGGATTATTGTACAAAACAACAGGAAAGCATTGTAGAAGTACCACAGCCAGGTGGAAATTAAATGTAGAGCCACAACTATGTGGCTAAACAGATGTTCTCTTGGCTTTAGGCCCAGATATCTGCTTGTTTTTGGTTACAAAAAGTAGATCCTTGCAGAGCAATACAACATACCAAATCTTACAACTCATAATTCCACTAAAACAGCTGTGATGCAAATACATGTTTTTAACTGCTGTATATCAGTGTCGAGTTTAAGTTTGTTGTTTTGTTTCATGTACAAATGTCTTCTTTTTTAAGTTTTTAATTTCCTTGGCTGAGTATGTGATTTTTGTTGCAGATAACGTGGTGTCACTTGTGTTTTTAGACCACAATTTAAATAATAATAATAATAATAATAATAATTTAAAAACTGCGAACAGCTTTTGAGTCAACGTTTTGAGTTTGCCAGTTTTTATTTGGTCAAAAGTTATTTGTCACTATGCACCATCTCAAGAGTAGTCTGGGCAAATTCAGAGGACTCTCCTTTAAAATGCAAGTGTTGACCCAAGGCCTTAGTCACACAAGCCTAGAGACCTTTTTGCAAACCCCTGGCAGACTTTTGGTACCCTAACAGCTGGTGAGTCGTTCCTGGAGGTTGCTGAGTGAGATGTGTTGCAAGGAAAAAATGTGTCGCACCAAAAATCTTCTTGTCATTGCTTTGGTCATTAGCATATTAATGCTATCACTCATTGTTTACACTGGAAATGTTGATTTGTATGCTAGCACTTGTCAACTTGTCACTTTAACCAAGACATTTCAGAAGGCACAACTCTTACTTTAAAGGTAAATGTTCTACATTGCCCAGTTTGCACTTCTCTTTTTAAAATATTTTTGGCCTTTTTACAGCTTTCTTTGAAAGGGTACAGTGAAGAATAAAAGGAAAGCAGAGGAGCGAGAGCAGGGAAGGCACAGGTCAGATTCAAACCCAGGCTGGCTGCTCTCAGCCATGCGGCATATGGGCGCTTGCTCATCACAGTGAGCTAAACCGGCACCTCACTATTCCCACTTTTCATTGTTTGACTGACACTCGACAAGTAGTTGGCGACTGTTTGCAACATCTTCTGTATAAACTGCAGGGGATCACAGCAATGAGAGACCAAAGCAATAACAAGGTTTTTGTTGCGGCACCTTTTTGATGACCAATATCAACAAGCAGCCATCCGCCTGGTGACGTGGACACCAGTAAATGCAATACCTCGTATGTGGCCCACGGTGTAAAAAGACTTTGACATCCCTGCTCTAAGGTTTTAGCAGATGTTTTCACAGAACAACAAGCAGCCCATTTTCCCCTAGCAACTGATGTTTGAAAGGTGGTTGCCAAACGGTCGCTATCCCTGTGTGACCAGGGCCTAAGACAGAAATAGTGCTTTTTTTTCCTGTCAGTTTGGAATCAGTATTTTTCCTAAGGTCAGATATGTAATTCAGTTGCTTCGAGCACAGCAATGCCATCGAGTCCTCTAGCTCTGCTTCAGGTTAACAAACTGCTCCGTTGTAGTTTACAGTAACTTCAGCAGAATCTTTTTGACCAGTGAAACAGCACAACCAGAAACGGTGCCCTAATGTTTATCTTGTATTTTGTTAATGAAAAGTCGTTGGCCATTTTCCAAACTTTAGGTCCAGGATTGATGTGAAAAATGAATCTAGACTCACGCTCGTCATCGAAGCCAGTCTTCAAAAAGGGTCTCAGAACAACCAGTGAACAATGAAAAGTGCTGCCATGTTTTTATTTTTATTTTAAATCCAAGTTTAAAATTTAAATGCAACAATTTGCCCTTATGTTTTCAATTAGAGCGCAGACATCTGCACTTCTTTTGGCATTATTCTAGTGATGTAGCCATTTAATGCTGTGATTTATTTCTTTTAGAAGTAGAACTTTTAGCAATGAGCATTTCTACTGATCCAAAACTCACCTCAGTCTCCAGTTGTTTTCATGTGTTTCATTGTTTGCAGATTTTAGTATGTTTACATTTCAATTCCTCCTTCTCAGTGTATTCATATCCCATAGAGACGTAGTCTATGCATTTAACTAAAAGCCATCAACTTATGGATTCTTGGGCAATCTTAAGAATCCATAATTATGAAAGCACTGACTTTAATCTGTGTGGAGAGATTTTTCTTCTTTTTGATAAATATTGTAAATGATAGTTTTATTTAATGGTCTTTGTTTGTTTGCTATGAGTCAGATTTCAACAATTAAAAAGTATTTGATATTTGTAGTAGCAGAACATGTTAAAAACATGTTGAATTTTCGTCACCTTTGAGGTCAGGGTCAGCGGGGTGTGACGCTCCCACAGCAGGTATCACTGAGCCTGTGTTTTGCAACGACCCTGTAACTGTAACTCCTGTTTGGCATGAAGAGACAGGAAGCACTGAGAGAGGGATATTTACGCAAGTCTGAACTCTTATGCAAACCTCCAGCTTACAGTTGAGCTCTCGCTGGGTTCATTTTTGTGACTATGTAAACATGTTTCATAGTTATTATGTTGGTTCAGAATTTATATTTTCGACAGATCAACAATTTTTGTCTGACTGTAAAATTCAAATAAAGTTGGTTGATGCCGATGTGCGATGGCGTTGTTTTTTTTTTCTCCGTCACACATCATCTTCACTCAGAAGCCTCACGTCACTGTGTCACGTTCCTTCTCAGCAGTTTAACAGACTCAGCTCTCTTATTCTAGTTTGCACAATATATATTTGAATAAAGTACAAAGCATTTCTTCTGCTCTTTAATAAACAAAATGACAAAACTAAATAAAAATTGGGGTCATTCTTGCTGCAGTGCATCATTTCTACCAGCAGGTGGCAGACAACGTCAACAAATGAAGGAGTTGAAAGGCGCTTTTGTTTACTTGTTGGCTCTTGGATAAGTGGCTTTATACCTTATTTCTTCTACACTGTTTAACAAGTAACGCTTTCTCCTATTTGCAGTGAGACTTCCTTTATATGCTGTCTGTGTGTACAACTCACAGCAAAGAAATCACGACGACTGCTGATGAATTAAACCTTTCTCCCCATCATCCACCTTTGCGATGGTCTTATAAAAACACAGTTACAGCTCTTGTAGATTTAAACTCAAACTCCTCGTGCAACTTTCAGCTCTTCCTTTTTTGTGTGTGTCAATTATAAAAATCCACAAACGTACATCAAAGCATAATTTTTGAGTCGGGGTGTGTGTGCCGCTGACCTGATCTGACAGAGGAGAAAATAACAGCTGAATAAAGGCATTACTTGCACTGACTCTTGTGCAGCATATTGACGAGACATGAGCACAACTGTGTTGTACACTGTGCGTGCCTGTGTGTCCTTGTCACAATGTGTTTGTCAGCGGGTCGTGTTGAATCTTGGTGCAGTGACAGCATCAGTTTGCTGCCTGAGAGACATCAGAGATCATGTTCGAAGAGCCACCAGCAAGAGGGCTGAGAGCTGGTGCTGGCCACAGGGACTGGGAGTAGATAATGTCAGGCAGCTCGAAGCAGGAGAAATGCAGTGGCATATGTTGTCTGACAGGGAAACGCCTGGATGTTGTCGGGCAGAGAGGGGGAGACGGTTTGGTGGCCAATGGGAGTGACAGCTGTCAGGAAGTGCTTTCTGTGTGTGTGAGAGCTACTGCTAAGAGAACCTAAGAGCTTTAGTCCATGTAACTGAGTGTTTTCATTATGGGAAGTGCCTAAAAATGCTCTTTTGGGTGGATTAAAGGTCAGAATTTGAGTTTAGGGCTCACTTGAATTTGGTTAGTTTTAAATTAAAGCTTGAAATCAGACTTGACGTCAGCTCTGTAGAAAAACATCTAAATCTTGATATCATACGAAAGTTACGAGGCTTTGAGTTCTCTGATTTCATAAAGAAAAGTCTCACACATTATAATACATGAAAATAATTAAAACAATGATAAGGACGTTAGTCTGCTGTGTCACCAAGCCACTGGGAGATTAGAGAAAATATTCCTCTTCTATAAAATTGTACAAAGTTCGGTAAGCAGCTAATAAATACTGTCGTGAACTCTGCTGGCAAATGCTCTGCTTAAGGATAATAAAAGGTAAGATTTAATTAGAGTGTGAAAGGTGACAGCTGGGTGTGATTATTTAAACAATCAAAGTTTGATTTTAGGGTTTAAATTAAATGCAATCAGTGTAAGCACAGAAGCAAGATGTTTCTTAAACATGCTGCTTCTTTTGGTTAGAAAATTTCAACCCTATACACACAAAGCCATAACCGGCTATTTTCAGTGATTGGACTTTAGGTCGCTAAACAGAAATTACAAACGTAATATAAGGGGGTCACGAGATAATGTAGGACTTTAGGACTAATCCTTGGTCCCAAAATCTCCTGAAAGAGAAAATTAGGAAAGAAAGTTAAGAGATGTAAGACTAAGATGGTGTGGTGTGATGTGCAAGAGGAGGGATAGTGGACGTTGAAGATGGAGCTGTGAGGCAGGAGGAAGATCACAGAGAAGATTCACCTTTTCCTTTAACAGTAGTAAGTATAAAGTGTTACACAGAAAAAAATTAAGCAAGCATTTTTAAAAACTGTTATTTCAACTTTATTTTGTATTTAACAAAACTAAACCACAGTTTTACCTGTTCAGGCCTCTTAAATCACTAAAATTAAACAGCCACAGTTTTCTATTCATGCCACGGAAAATAAATAAATGAATGAGCAAAAAAATAAATAACATTTACAACCGCTGATCTCGGCCTTAAGTCACAAACGACAGACATGTTGCATTAATATTTCAACGCATTTTACACAGTTTTTGTCACATCTTCTTCCATCTATTTGATTTTGAAACCTTTGCATGCGCTTCATGAAGCTCTGCGTTGGCTTTCTGGTTGTGGGTGTCGCCATATTTCCATATAAAAGCAGGTTTTAATTTGGCCTTACAGTGCATTGCTGTGCCTCAGTTTTACATACTGAGACCCCACTGTGACAGTAATGACTAGGCAGCGGGCTAAAATACTGAGCACTGCCTCAGACAGGTGGACACTACCGATAAGGAGATTTCCCAGCAGCCTCAGCAGGTGGTTGTAAATGTTGTTCTGTACACCCTGATTGTTAGATCATGTGACCCGGATCAGATATGTGATTCCTACCTGAATGCGTGCAGTCCTACTCGGTTGATGAGAAGCAGCCACTAAATTGTAATAAGAAAAAAAGAAATTAATAACAGTTCTTTGTAAACTTCTTTCACATATTAAACATGTCCCAAATATTCAGAGAGAATCCAGTCAGTCAATGAAAAAAAAGAATAATTGTTAATAGGGAAAAAAAAGGTGCATCAATTTCCATTAAGCTGGAAAGAGTTTTAAGGTAATCTACACCTTTATGAGTTTAGATTTGCAGATATGCATATGAGAAAAACTGCTTAGAAGATGTAAGCTTCAAGTGAGGAGTGTAGAAGCTGCTCAGTTATGGTTTTTTTTTTATTTTTTAAGTGAAGCGTAATAGCTAAACCAAAGAAATCAATGAAGCAGTTAAAATCTCAGTCTAGCATAAGAAAGTTGTGATGCATCAATGCAAAGGATGGCAGGACACACCAAAAAAAAAAAAGCTGTGTTGGGGCTGGCTGCTTTCTTTGTGCCTCCCAAGTTGGTATCTTACAGGATAACACAGAGGATACTCAGTAATGACCCTGGTATTGGAGGCAAATCCACTACAGAATGACTTCAAACAAAGAAAATCTGCCTTTCAGTGTGGCCCAGTCAGAGCTAAGCACTTTAACCCAATAATGATGTTGTGCAGTGACCTCAAGATGTAGCTGTTTCCCCTGGAAGTCCTAAAATTATGGCTAAGCTCGAGCAGTTTGGTAAACGAGGCTCTAAATCGGAGGGGGTTTTTTTTTGCCACATAAGCTTTTAAAGAAATACATATTACTATAATTTTTGGCTTGTTATTAGCTTCATTCTGTTGTGTTTCTTTCTTCATGACACTGACAAAGATTAGGTCATCTGTTACGACCGTTTCATGCAGGAATCCTGGTGATTTTAAGTGGTTTGTTTACATCAGGAGGTTTTTACAGGAGTATGAACTTTAAGTTTACAGTGTTCTTAATCAACAAGGAAATCCTCAACTGTCTGCAAACACAAGAAATACAGTGAAATGCAAGTTATTTGGGCCATGATATGAAGCTATTCTATATGTAGTAAAGACAGAGTGTGACAGGCCAGGTAGAGACACACAGGACAGAAGAAGGCATATCCATCAGATTAACACACAGTAATGTCTTCCTGGTCTGGCTCCCAGCATCAGTGATTTATCAATGCAAAGCTAATAGCATCAATATGAATCTAACTAAAAATCAATATTTCATTATCTAATTGTTAGTGGGAATGAAGAAGGATGATTGCAGGAGATGGCGTTTGAGAGCATCTGGAGTTCACAGAGACATCTGGAGGACAAACTCGAGCAGTAACTGCACACTTAGTTATGACACACTTCCAAAGGGTAGGGGGTGAAAAAAAAATGAATGTATGTGCCTTTAATGTAGTAAAACACTAACAACAAACAGGGAAAAATCCAATGATTTGTTGCAAAATGCTACCGCAAGGTTAAAACAGAGTCACCACCTTACATTTCATCAAACGGATCCCCGCCTCATCCCCACACATACACCCACAAGCTGCAGTCTGAACCATCCATTAAAAATACTGAAATCAAACCAACACAATCATCTCGGACCTCCTACATCCATCACTCCTGGCAAATGGGGGTATGCTGGCAAAAGTCAATATGATGCAATTTGGTAACAAAGATGCATAAAATGAATCAGCTTAATCCTTTCAGTCACTCTGACACAAGGACGTCACATCTTTAAGACCGCAGTTTCACTAACCTCATTAATTGCTTAAAATTGTTTCTGCTTGTTTCCACTAATCAGGTTCGATTTGCATCTGGAATACAAAGTGAGCACTGCAGTTATCGTCTCAGAGGGTAAAGAGCATCCCAGCACCTTTAACTTACGGTTACTGGAATTACGCTTTTTCACATTGTCACCTAATTTCATTAAAAAAAAAAGTAAAAAAGAAAGACCCAAACATCTACACACACAAAATATAAATAGCTATTCTAGAACTGTTTGGAAGGTGCACGCACGCACAACGCCTCAGAGTGTACACAAATGTCTCGGACCCTCGCATATTTGCCACTGGAGAAAGTAGACCACTGGCATAAGGCTGTCAGTTCCAGACCCCCAACACAGAGCTGTACCTCATTACATGGTCCTGTTTTACTTTGAAAAAATAAACCTAACTCTTATGTGGTCCGGTGTATAAGCCTTTGTCAGGGAGTTTAGTGTTTAACTCTCTGTACATATACATTAATAGACATTTTCGTGTTGTCTGATGGGGAATCATTTGTAAGCAGGTACGTCATCTGTTGTTTTGCAGATCTTTAAACGATCCTCTTAAACGAAAAACATCCCTGAGTTTCTCGTTTTTGCCCTCCAGCTTCTCTTTTCATTTTTATTTCTCTGTGTCAAAACGGAAAAATAAAGAGAAACATTATCTAACCTGTGGCAGCGCTTTTGGGTTTTACCCATCAGAGCTACAGTCATTCGTCTGCAAGCATTTAG